TACATGACATTAATGGATGTAATTACAGAAGATAGTCAGATCTCTCCTTTAAAATTAAGATTTAGTTAATTTGCCTCCTCACAGTCCTCTATTGATAAAGATCCACAGGCATGTCAAAGTCAGCATCTCCCAAATTGAATTTGTAACCATCCTCCTACATTCCCTCTCCCAGGAAATGCCATAACTATCTATCCAGGGACAAATGCAAAAAACCCGAGAACTCCTCTGGTATCTTCCTTCTCCTTTGTCCTCTGCATATAATCAATCATTAAATGGTATTGGTTTCATCTTCTAAATATCTTCAAATCTTAATGTTTTCTTTCACTCTAGTGCCACTGTCTTAGTATAGGCCATTATCTACTTCTTCCATGGATGACTAAATATCTCAACTCTAGTCTTCCACCTGTCCATCTAGTCTACCACCTTACAATCCATTCTTCACACTGTAGCCAGCGTGAACATTCTTTCTCATATTAACTCTTTGTATGCATGTGATACATTTAAGGAGCTCTAGTGGCATAGGGCCTAATGCATTTGACTGCTAACCAGAAGGTTGGTGGTTCAATACCACTAGCCACTACCCAAAAGGAAGACTGGGCAATCTACCTCCATAAAGATGTACTACCTCGGAAACCCTAAGGGGGCTGCTGAGTCAGAATGGACTCAACGGTAGTGAGTTGGTTTTTGGTTTGGTGATACATGTATCATAACTGATGAACCAGCATTGATACATTATTGCTAACTATATCCATAGTTTACATTAGGGTTGTCTCTTTGTGTTGTAGAGTCCTATAGGCTTTGACAAATGCATAATGTCCTGTGCCCACCATTACTATATTATGCAAAATAGTCTCACTGCCCTAAAAATGCCCTGTGCCATCCCACCCCCCATCCCTAACCTCATGATATGGGACCACTGTCTTTATAGCTTTACTACTCTCAGATTTTCCCATGTCTCTTTCAGTTATTTATTTTTTTTAATCCCACATAGAGGTGGGAGGGGGACTATCTCTACTTCGGGTGTACCTCATTTTTTCTCTCATCTGGAAGATTCCCTTTCACCCTGAAAAGCTGATCAAACATTAATCTCTCTTTAATTTTGACCTGCCTTCCTCACCAGGTATAATTTGTTAATTTTTCCTCCTGATCCCTTTAAAATTTGGATTTTCTTTTATTTTTTTTAATATATCATATTATTTTCAGCTCTATACATGTGTGCTGCCTCTTGTTAGAATACACAGTTCTTGATGCAGGAACTAGGTCTTACTGAGTTTTCAATCACAGAGCCTAATACTTGTTAGATTTTCAATACTGTTTTTTCAATGGATGATTGGATGAAAGGTGATTATCCCAGCCTATATTATCACTGCCCAATGCATGCATGCAGAATCAATTCAGGTCTTTGCATATTTCATTATAATAATTTACTTTGTCTCCTTGAGCTGCTCTTTGAACTCTTAAGTTCCATCCCTTTACTTCATCATTTCTTCTATTTGCTTTTGCTATTCTACATCGAAAAGCAAGTTACAGTCTTTCCTGACATTTATTTTGGTCTTTTCTTTCTTTCCTGTCTTTTTAATGACCTTTTGCCTTTTTTGTGTATGATGTCCTTGATGTCATCCTACAACTGTTCTGTTCTTGGGTCATTTGTGTTAATGTGTCAAATCTATTTTTGAGGTGGTGTCTAAATATGGGAGGGATATTCTCAAGGCCATACTTTGGCTCTCTTGGACTCATTTTAATTTTTTCAGCTTCAACTTGAACTTGCATATGAACAATTGATGGTATATTCTGAAGTTAGCCCTGGCCTTTTGATGAATAATGATATTGTGCTTTTCCATTGTCTCTTTCTATAGATGAAGTTTATTAGATTCCTATGTTTTCCACCAAGTGAGGTGTGTGTAGAGTTGCCATTCGTGTTTTTGAAAAGCTATTTGCAATGAATAAGTGATTCATCCTGCAAAATTCTATCATGGGATCTCTGACATGATTTCTATCACCAAGGCCTATTTGCCAACTACTGATCATTCTTTGATTCCAACTTTCATTGATGATTCAAATTAGCAATGCATCTTGATTGCTTGGTTGATCAGTTTCAGACTGTGGAAGTTAGTGAAAATTTTCAATTTATTCATCTTTGGTTTTAGTGGTCAGTGTGTAACTTGAATAATACTTATATTAACTTCTCTTTCTTGTATGCATATGGACTGTATCTTATTATTGACAATATTGTACTCCAATATAGATCTTGAAATGTTCTTTTTGATGATGATAGTGATGATATTCCTGTTTAATTTGTCATTCCCAGTATAGCAGACATTATGATTTTCTGATTCAAAATGGCCAATACCAATCCATTTCAGCTTACTAATGCATGGGATATTGATTTTATGTGTTCTATTTCATTTTTGACAATTTCTAAATTCCCAGGTTCAAACTCTGTACATTTCACATTCTGATTATTCACGGATGTTTGTAGCTATTTCTTCCCATTTGAATCATACCCTATAAGCAAGTGAAGGTCCCGAAAGCTTTACTCCAACCCTGTCATTAAGATCAACTCTGTTTTGAGGAGGCAGCTCTTCCCCTGTCATGTTTTAAGTGCCTTCCAACCTGAGGGGATCTTTTTATAGCACTATCAGATAATGTTCTGCTGTGATTTGGAAAGTTGTCTCTGGCCAGTTCATTCAGAAGGAGAGCACCAGGTCCCTTTTCCCAGTCTGTCTTCGCTGGGAAGCTCCACTGAAACCGTCCACAGTGGGTGATTCCGCTGGTATTTAAAATACCTGTGCTAAACTTCCACCATGACAGCAACACGGAAGCCACCTCAGTATGAAAAAGTGACAGACGAGTGATGGGAAATAAAGCAGAAGACTTTAATCAGTTGCTGTTAGGTTCTGTTGAGTCAGCCCCAACTCATAGTGACCCCATATACAGCAGAATGAAACACTGCCTGGTTGTGTGCCATCCTCACAGTCCTTGCTGTACTTGAACCCATCCTTGCAGCCACTGTGACAATCCATCTTGTTGAGGGTCTCCCCCTTTTTCACTGACCCTCCACGTTACCAAGCACAATTTCCTTCTCCAAGGAATGGTCCCTTTTGACAACATGACCAAAATACACGAGACAAAATCTGGCCATTCTTAATTCCAAGAAGCATTCTGGCTGTACTTCTTCCAGGACAGATTTGGTCATTCTTCTGGCAGTCCATGGTACTTTCAGTATTATTTGCCAACACCACAACTCAAAAGCATCAATTCTTCTTTAGTCTTCCTTACTCATTGTTCAGCTTTCATATGCATATAATGCTAGTGAAAATGCCATGGTTTGGGATAGGGCACCTTAGTCTTCAAAGTGACTTCTTTGCTCTTCAATACTTTAAGAGGTCTTTTGCAGCAGATTTGCCCAGTGCAATACGATGTCTGGTTTTTTGACGGCTGCTTCCATGGTTGTTGATTGTAGATCCAAGTCATATGAAATATTTGACAACTTCAATCAGTTGTGGTAGCTCTGATAGTACAAGTAGTTGTATCATGACATAGTTTTATGATTTCTTAGTCTCTTCCTGAGAAAAATAATGGTAGCTCCCTAACTGTAAATAAATATGCATCATTATGTGAAGATTTTGCAGCTGTGTTATTCTTCAGGAAACTGAAGAAATTTGATCTCTTTGGGTGGGAATGTAAAACATGTAAACATTTTGTTTTTAATGTGACCACTGAGTTGGTGATAATCACATAACAAAATACATAAAATCAAGTGAAAGCTAAAATGAGTCTTGATCTGGCAAGCTCTGGCTGTGTGATTGGCTACAACTTATCTGTGAGGCTGCACCAGATCCAATATATCCATAAAACCATCTAACGTTGCAAAGCCTCACTAGTTAAATTGCAAACTTATAAGATCCTGCTCATCCCAATACATTCCCGGCTCTTCTCAGCCTGCTTTATTCCTTCTTTATCATAGACTTGGGGAAGATACATTCTCAAAATTGAAATGTTTTCAAATATTGCAAATAATGTCAATTAAGGAGCATGTTCTAAGTTGTTGTCCAGTCAACTCAGACTCATGACAAATCAGTGTGTGGACTAGAACTGTGGGGTTTTCCAGACTGTGGTCTTTTAGAAGAAGATGGCTGCAGGCCTTGGTTCCGAGGTGCCTCTGAGTGAATTTGAACTGTCAACTCTTTGTTCAGTACTCAACTGCTTAATTATTTTCTCCTTCCAGGAACTCCTAACTTTCACTCATCTTCACAACCTAACTCTCAATATTCTATTTCCCTTCACAAGTCTTTATTCCCTCCCTCCTTGCCCATGTTATTAACTGCTCTGTGCCAGGCCTTATCAGCATCTCATTAATTGATCTTATTTTTACTTCTTTCTCTCTTTAGGTCTATTGTTACTCATGGATTCAATATATTAACATTGTTCCTGGTAGAGAATGCTCTGAATTTGTACTAGCACAATACTTCAAAATTATTCTCTATTAAATAGAATTACAACAGTTAAAAACTCTCAGAATAGGAACGTTTCTGTTTCAACTACTTTCTCGTTTGATTTTGACATAAAATATTACAATTGGGTTTCTTTAATATGTATACTTTTTATTATTAAAGGAGAAAGGATGCAATTTTGAAGTGCATGATTCAGAAAGATTGAATACATTTCTTCCGTGGGAAGAGGTAGGCAACATAACTGTGAACCTCAGATCCCAAAATCCTCCTAATGAAAGGTCCCTGTCTGGTTGTGAAATCTACCTGACTTCACATTAAGCTCCACCTCAGCAAGAACTCCATTTCCGTTTTCTATATCTTCTTCTTAACTATCAGCATTTCTCAGGGTTATATTCTTCTTACTCTATACACTCTGCATAGGTAGAATGTCTACTTATCTTATTTAATAACTTAATTAGAAATTCTTTTTTGTTACAAAATCTAAAATGTGATCACGTATTTTATGTGGAATATATTTAAATGGAAACTTTTTCTTATGTTTTTCAGAAGATGCTTACAAGACCCAGGTTAGGATTGACAATGAACCAGCTTATTTGGACATCTTGGACACTGCTGGTCAGGTAGGGGATTTGCTTAGACCTCTCCAATCGTGGTGCCAGTTTATGCTTTAATCTCAAATACACTTAGTACAATGTAGAAGGTGAGTTTCACTCTGTAATCAGAAGACTGAGTTTTCAATAACATTCAGGAATTGTATAAGGAAATAACTCTGGTATCATTGGCTGGAAAATGTGACTTCTTGCCAACCAGAATATTTCAATATGTACGTAATTTTCCAAATACAAAAAATACACAGTATAGATATAATATTATCATGCAACAAGGAAATGAATAAAATAGTTTATTCTTCTTCCTTGAATGTGTGTAAAACTCTGTCATAGATGATAATGATTGTTATAAAGAATTTTAGTTGAATATGAAAAAAAGTTTACACATGGAGTCAAAGCTAGAGAGAGTGTTAAATGGAATAGGTGTCATCAGATTTATCATGATCTGATGGTCTGGAAAGCTGAAAAACTGATACAGGTTTTCACTTTTGTAAAATAAATCTACAGTTTCATTTGTATGTAAGAAAAAAATGATAATGTAAAAATAATAAGAAATAAAAAATAACATAAAAATGTCATCACAGTGCTAAGAATTTTTTTTTTATCATTTTAGTGTAGTGTTCCCAGCTAAAAGATCAATAAAGATTGACAAAATGAATATATTTTGAGGCAGAGATTAAATCGGTACTATTATGAGTTGGGGCCGACTCGACGGCAAACAACAACATAACAACATTAATGAATATAAATTTAAAGCTTTATTAAAAGATACACTTTAAGAAAAAAGGAAATGAATCCAGACATAAGAAGTGAAAGAGAGGGGCATGAGTAGAAAAAGAAATTTGTGACTATATGTGTAAATTTGAATAAATATTGATTGTATAAAATAATTATATCGGTGCTGCTGATGATGGTGACTATAGGAAGAGGAGGAGGACAAGAAAAATAAGAGGAAGAAGAAAAAGAGGGAGAAGAATAAAAAATTAATGGGGTATAATATATTAATTATTAAGAATATATTGATGTATTAATATTACATTTTACTTTAAGGTTGTAATTTTAATAATATAATTGCAATAGTATAATTATATTAATATTATATTGATATAGCATGTTACATTAATATAATAATGGTGATATTAATAATATTAATAATTACTAATGTTAATATATTGTTAATAATATATAAATTATTAAAATAATGATAAAACTAAAATACTAACAAATTATAAGTAAAATAAAGCAAAGACATCAGTGTCAAAACACTAAAAGTCTCTTTTTTTTGGAAGGATTATAGAGATCTTATTTATACATTAAAAATAGCCATGTTAAATATATATATTAATTTAGGTTAGGTTGGGCAATCTACTTCAGTAGTGATACTGCCTGGGAAACCCAAGGAGGGGTCACTATGAGTCGTGCTGACTCGCCGGCGTATAACAACAACAACAACATAGACCATATAGCAGCTGTGGTGTACTAATGTCTAAGGCATTTGACTCCTAACCAGAAGGCTGGTGGTTCAAACCCACCAAGCCACTCCTCAGAAGGAAGATTGGGCAATCTACTTCTGTAGTGATACCGCCTTGGAAACCCAAGGAGAGGTCGTTATGAGTTAGATCTGACTTGATGGCAGTGAGTTTGGCTTTTTTGTTTGGATAGACCATATAACTTACTAACTACTAGACAGAAAATGGAGGAATTAATTGAAAACTATTAAACCAGTACAAGGCAGAAGAGAAAGAAACAAATAATAATTTTAAAACAAAACAAGGTAAAGATGAATATAATATATAAATATACCAGGAATCACAATAAATGGAAATGGATCTATCTCTTCTATAGAAGGGAAGCATTGTCAGTGTCATACTGATGCAAATAATAAACCTAACCTATGTTTGGAGCTCTGGTAGTGGTTAAGGCATTTGACTCCTAACAAAAAGGTAGATGTGACCAGTTGCTCCATGGAAGAAAGATGATTGCAGTCTGTTTCCATAAAAATTTACGGCCTTGGAAATCCAATTGGGGTCATTAAGAGTCAGTGAGTTTTTTTTGTTGTTGTTGTTGGTGGTGGTGGTGGTGGGTGGTTGTTTTGAGACTATATTTATCAAGGAGCTCTGGTGCTATGTTGCTCAAGACATTTGACTGCTAACAAAAAAGTTTGAGGTTCAGATTCACCAGACACTCCACAGAAGGAAGATGGGGCAATCTACTTCCATAAAGATTTACAGCCTCAGAAACACAAAGGGGTTTTATGATTTATGAGTAGGAATTGACTGGATGGCAGTGAGTTTGGTTTTTTGGTTTTGGCTTATGTTTGGTTTAAAAGAGGAATATCTACAGTGTCAAGGTTCAGTAAGGTAGTAAAATACTTTTTAAAAATTTAATTTTATTATTTAAAACAAAAGGAAAGAATTATAAAGAGAAATTTATAAAACTCAAATCATATGTAGTGGGAAATTTTAATACATCCCTCTCAATAAATGTTGGATCAGAACATAGTACAATTGTTGAAGATTTGAAAAATACATTTAGCTTAAATAGAATATTCCAGTCAATAAGAGTATAGACATCCTTTTCATATGCACATGTCGTTCATAATGTTTTTATCCATTCCTAATCTATTTGTAAGGAATGTGCTCTTTGGGAGACCTACTATTTGACATATGTGGGATGTTCTTTGTGACTCAAAACATGATACATTTTGATAAAATTAGTAACTTAGTGGTTACCTCTTGTGGGGAAGACAGAGAAACTGGAAAAGGACACAGATAAAAGCTGACTTCTGTTATTGTTGTTATGTGCTGTGGAGTCGGACCTGACTTATGGCGACCTCTCCTTGGGTTTCTCAGGCAGTATCACTACGGAAGTAGATTGCCAAACCTACCTTCTGAGAAGTGGGTGGTGGGTTTGAACCGTCAGCCTTCTGGTTAGCAGTCAAATACCTTAGGCACTATGCCACAAGAGCTCCTACCTTAATTGACACAGTGGCTGAAACAATTACCTCAAACATAACTGTGATTGTGAGGATGGTGCAGTACTGGACAATGCTTCATCCTGTGGTACACAGAGTTGCTGTGACTTGGAACTGACTAGATGGCCTGTGGGCTTGGCCATATTGTAGTATTGGGCAATGGCATGTAGGCTGCTGAAACAGCCTGTTAGTTCTGAGTCAAAGATTTAAGAGGTGTTGATGGTACTTGTGTTCAAGAGAAGAGCATGCCCCAGGTGTCCCTTGTTCTTATAATGAAGAGCAGACCTAAACATAACCCAAAGGCTTTAGCCAAGCCCATCTCACCTATACTCTAAAGCTGATCTGCCTCAGGCAGCCCATAGACTTGTGAACTAGAAAAATCTTGAATGTTGGTAGCTTTAAGCCCTATTTTGGAGCTAGTTAATAAGGAAGCATTATTGTAGCAATAATGAATTGACACAATATCTTAATGGAGAGTTTAGTAGTTCAGTGTGACTGGAGATGAAAAGTATTAGCTATTTATGGAAAAAGTGGGAAGGAATAAGAGATAAATTTTCAGATATTCACTCTAGAAACAATGAGAAATTTACAAATATGCAATAAAAAATAAGGTAACTAAATTTTAATGCTACTAAATATTTATCTAAGCAAGTCTTAACTGTGGCCAAACTACAGTACATCAGGCTAAACAGATGGTAGCTTGTTGGCTTCCAAACTATTAAACTCACATGCAGGAGATGGTCTGTACAGAAAATTTCACAGATCTTATATGTCTGTAGGATACAGGAGATAACGCTATTGAAATGCTTTTCATAATACCACCTTGTTTTGTTTAGGCTCTATTGCTTTTCAACATGTGTTGAAATTTATTATCCTCACAACAAACCCAGGAGGTAAATAGGAAAGGTATTATTATTATCATCATGTAAAATCGGAGTAAAGTGTTATGCAAAATGACTGCCTCATTGAAGACAATATTGTCATTCAGGTCAAGTCAAAATATATCTAGTGTTTATGTGTACACAAAGCCTCGCAGAGCCAAACTAACTCCATGGGAAAAAAAAAAAATGGGGGCATCAGTCAGTCTTGGGTTGGAAAGTACTGTCTTTGTGTGTTCAGTTAGCTTGTGTTTGACCACTTCCATTGTTCAGAAGCTCTGCTTCTGGAAACTAACAATTATAATAATTTGAAAACATTAATTATTGGAAAGTTTTTTTTTTAATGAGCTGCAATATTTCTACATATATTTTTTACACCTATTAATACCAAGTCGGTCTCTTGAAATTACCTTATTTATGTTATAGTTGAATAATTTAAGAGTCTTAGAAATTATGTGGTTTATTAAACGCAACACAAAAATTATTGACCCTGGTAGAATTCATCTACATCTTCACTCACACTTTCAGTGTATACAGTGTATACCAAAGATGTCCTAGGTCTAGGAAATGCAAAACAAAGCAAAAACTAGTCCTTCTCCACAAAATGATTGAAGTTTGGGACAGTGAACGGACAGCAAATTAAAAATTTTAGCAAATTGTGTTAAATATATGAAAAAAGGATACACATTTTGGTATTAGGTGCCTTAGATTCCTAAAGTATTTTTTTTTTTTTGGTCCTGGCATAATAAATACAGCAAACTTAAACCTGAGTGAAATATAAGACAATATTTCTTTTTCTTAATTTTAAATACAATTAAGAAAAATGCTACCAAAATGTATAGAGCAAGATAGATAGATAGATTACTGAAATCAGAAGGATCTTAGCTAAAAATAGAGAACACCAGAAAGATGTTTATCTTTGTTTTTTTTTTAACTACACAAATGATTCAGCTATGTGGATCATAACAGTCACATATAACATTGTAAAGAATAGGAATTCTGGAACAGTTAATTGTGCTCATGTGGAATCTGTACATAAACAAAGAGCACTTGTTCCAATGGAATAAGAAGATATTTCGTGGTTCAAAATCAGTGTTGTATACTTTCACCATAATTATTCATTCTGCATGCTGAGCAAATTATCTGAGAAACTGGACTAC